TAAAAGCAATCGTAGAAAGTCAGTTTGGATGGACAGCCTGAGAGAATACGGTCGGGTATTGAGATCGAAATTTATTTCACAATTTCGTATTTTTCATACAACTTTTATGGACGCTTCGGTTTACACGTTATTAGCAGTCTAACGAAATAGTTAATGTTGTAACTCCTTTCGATAACGATTTCGTGAAGATATTTTAATTTTACTTTTTTTTTCTGCTCTAATTTCACAACTACAATCTTCGATTAGTGGGGAAAACAATCAAAAAAAGTTTTATTATATTTCATTGATCTGCAAAATATTGACTCTTAATAGAATTAGTTAGCATTAAAATGAAAGCAAGATATTATATAATGTATACGAAAGGGGTAAATCAAAATCAAAATTTTCCTCGGCGAACTAATAAGTGAAATTCATTAAGAGAAGGACTAATCGAGGTATTGATTGAATAGTACACAAGCAGTCGTTGCGAATCGAACGTGAAGCCTTCCCACTTGTCGCCGCTGTGATAATGTTTTCTTCAATCCTTTAATGAATTTAAACTAGATTAAATCAGACTTGTTGTGATAAGAGTAGTTTTTATTATCTTAGTTGTTGTTGGTTTTGCAATATGATAACGACGGTTTCTTCTGACACTCAGGCGTGGTTGAATTGTTTTTTCTTTTTTTTTTTCATCGCTGAAATTATTATTGTTGGCGTTGTGAGGATCGTCGAAGGTATTTAAGTGAATGTTTGTCTGACTGTGTTTACAAGTTTTTATTTTGTATAATTATTCAAGTTATCTCGTGTTTTATTTAAATATAGATTTATTTGTTTATTTTATTATTATTTTTTCTGTTGCTGTTTTTTGATTCATTTTTTGCTGTTGTTGTCATAATCACATGCCAACGTAAAGTGAGAAAGTCTACCGTAGAACATGTGACTAAGGATTTGTTTACAGATTGCGGTCGCATATATATATATATATATAAGTTATTATATATATATATATATATAAGTTATTCTAAGCTAGAAATTAAATGCGTTTAATGTGAAGACGATGCGTTTGCTAAAAACTGTGATATTTTATATAAGTTGAGACACTATACCGGACACTTCCTTGTATATCGCTAATAGGGGAGTCGGTTTATTTTATTATTCTCATTGTTCTTTCTCAATTTTTGTTTTCAGAGTAAGCAGGGTTTTCTTTAGCTACAAAAAAGGAAGAGTTTTTTAAGAGTAATAGGAAGAAGTGATATAATAAATTTTCATTGCGACGACATCTGGCAAGAAAAGAAAACAAGGAAACAAGGAAAAAGTCAAGGAACGTCGATAATTAAATACCCTACATCACTTTGCCAAACGCAATATTCAAAAGTATGCCTTACTTTAGGTCTTTTCCATACAAAGGTTTATTTTTCGCGGGCAACTTTATTGGAGCCATGTCCCAAAAAAATTGACTTATATTTTGCGGATAGTGTAGAATTCATTTTTATATCAAATTTTCATCATTTCTCATAAAATATTGGAAACTACATCTTCTCTGCACATATTCTTCGCAGGAACGGTTAGTTAGTTACATGCGCGAGGAAAGAGTTGGCCCATCTGATCCAATTTTTTTACATCACTTTAATATTAGTTTGGGGAAAAAGAAATCCATTATTTTTTCGGTAGATGACTGCACTGATAAATTTCTCGTAAAGTATCGATCAAACAATTTCCGATTTATGCTCGTTGGAAAGGTGATATTTCGCAGTAAAAAAAATTCGCTTGCTCTTTTTTGTTTGGTGCATTCAGTTGTGAGTTACAGCGTGTCAAAAATGGAAGTGAACAAAGAGAAAATTCGGTACATTTTACAGTTTTTCTTTGACAAAGGCGAAAATGCAAGCCAGGCGGCTAAAATTGTGAATGGTGTTTATGGTTCCGATACTGTAACAGCCAATTATGTGCAATCTTGGTTTCCGTTCAGGAATTTTTGATGTTAAAGACGCACCTCGCACAGGTAGGCCGGTCGTCGAAAATGTCGATAAAATCGGAGAAATGATCGAAGTTGACCGGCATGTTAGCAGTCGTAACATCGCCCAGGAGCTAAAAATCGACCATAAAACAGTTTTAAAGCATTTACACAAAGCTGGATTCAAAAAGAAGCTCGATGTTTGGGTGCCACACCAATTAACAGAAAAAAACATGATGGATCGAATTTCCATCTGTGAAGCCTTGGCCTAACGGAATCAGATAGACCCATTTCTTAAACGGATGGTGACTGGAGATGAGAAGTGGATCACATACGATAACCCTGTGCGAAAACGATCGTGGTCAAAGAGCGGTGAAGCACCTCAAACGGCGAGGAAGGTTTTGCTATGCATTTGATGGGACTGGAAGGGGATTATTTATTATGAGTTGCTTCCATATCGCCAAACGCTAAATTCTGATCTCTACTGTCAACAACTGGACCGTTTGAAGATAGCGACTGACCAGAAACGGCCAGAATTGGCCAACAGGAGAGGGGTCGTGTTCCACCAGGACAACGCTAGGCCACACACATCTACAGTGACTCGCCAGAAAGTTCGGGTGCTTGGTTGAGAAGTTTTAATGCATCCGCCATACCGTCCGGACTTGGCACCAAGCGATTATCATCTTTTTCTTGCATTGCAAAATTTCTTTAATGATAAAAAATTGGAATCTAGGGAGGATTGTGAAAATCGACTACTAGAGTTTTTTGCAAATAGAGACCAGGATTTCTATGAGAGAGGCATTTTGAAGTTACCTTTAAAATGGCAACAAATCATACAACAAAACGGTGCATATTTGACCCAAATCGGACAATCCGAAGCATGTTAAATAAAGTCTTGAAGTTCATATAAAAATAATGGATTTCTTTTTCCCCAAACTAATATATCAATATACTGCTATTAAGCTATCTTTGTTGATAAATTTTTAATTATGCAAATTTTTTTCATATAATGGAATAGAAGTAGAAGTGATTCGATCGTTATTCATTTTCAATAAGTTTTTTCCTTGAAAGAAAACACCTCATTGTAGGAAATTTTGTGAGAATATTCTAAAAATTACAATCTCTAGATTGAACGTAAGTATACATGAACGCACGTAAGGCGGACGTATGGATAGACAGACAGAAAAATTTTTAAAGGACCCAAAAATGATTGCGAATTGATTTTTTTGGAGCTAGCTATTCGTGCATTATACACGTCCGTTTAATATTAATATATGCTGGGTAGGGTATAATTAGGAGATTTTCAGGTACATTCAATGCGTGATATTCATATGACCAAGATCATGTTTTTCAAAACAAAATTGTTTTGGTGAATTATTTTTTTGGGGATTTTTTCATTTCCCGGATCACATAAAACACATACACTTTTTTATCCGGGGTTTGCGGAAAGCCAAGAGAAATGATCGAACGACCTCTCCAAAGCAAAAGGAGGACCACTTCCAGGAGGCCATATTTTCCCGATAGAATTACTGATTCGAATGTTACGATGAATTGCTGCTTCGTCAAACGAAACTTTGGAAGCTCATAAGATGATGCTTCATCTGTCGGTGAAATATTTCCACAAGTCGATTTCACGCAATTTTTTGCTACAAATTCCATACTTGATGACTGATGTCTGCACATAAATATATGTCTATATGTATTGAAATCTTGTAATTTGGCAACATTTTTGGAAATTGTTGGAAATTTGCTTTGCTTTCGAGTTCTCATCTTGTAATTGACTTTTTCCTTCTTCCTTCTTCTCTTCTCGCTTACACAAGTCAATTGAAATTGTTTCCTATATGATATATGATATACGATATATATTGAAATTGCGTTAATAGTCATAATGAAATCAATTTTCAATTAACATCAATTTCTTTTCAATAAAAACTTTTATTCACACTCAACAATTGAATACTGAAATAATAATCGAAAAAGCTTACAATGTTTTTATTTCACTTTTGAGAAACTATTCTCTAAGCGCAATATTTAGCACATTTTAAAATTATAAGAATTACAGACAGTTTTTCAGCAATGAGTAACGGAACGATAATTCTCGTCCTGTAATCGTGATTATGATAAATGTTGATTAAGAAACTTGATCAACTTTTTGGAATTTGTATAAGTTGTGTTAATTTATAAGCACGCTACACAGAGCTCCTGTTGCTTATATCGAATGCTTAACGTCGCTGAAAGGCTCCACAGAGAGATCGTAACACATTCTTACAAATTAAATGATATCTGCGTGCCTGCAACATTTTCCCTGGGCCAAAAAAACACATCTTTATACTAAATTGCATTAAAATATCGCAAAAATTGCGACTGACAGGCTGGACATCAAAATTGAGATGCAATCAGAAAGTTATTCTGAAAGCGATGCTGAATTGATCGGTGCAATAAAAACGTAAGCGTCTACCTCAAGTGATTCTGGTTGCCATATACATCTGCACAAATTTCATATGCCCTTCCATCACAAGTGGCGTAGACTACAATTAAATGCATTTTTTTTTTTTTCTTTGTGAAATCAAATATTAAGCGTACACATATAAATTTTTATCCGTTACCGAAAATATATATGTATGCTAAAATAATCATAATTAACTGGACATTCTCAAGTTAATGATGAGTAAAAAAAGAAGATCGATCAAAGTCCAATTTGATTTTTCTCTTATTTTCCACTGTATTACCACGTAACTGTGGTCCCTAAAGCATCTTCACTGCCAAACTAAATGCTTAGCATATAGCTTAGTTAAGCATGTCGACTATCGGAAACGTTGTAGTCATGCCTGGTGCGATCGGCGTGTTTTATTTCAATGGGAAAACTCAAGAAATATTTAACATTAACTTTTGCTTGCATTAAATATAAGTTTGTTGTTTTGCTTTTCGCGATGTTTTCACAAACTATCTATCTATCTATCACGTGTAATTTTTAAATTATAAAAAATACGACAAATTCTTAATTTTCTATATAAAAAAAAAAGCCATAAAAAATACTTATAGGCAATAAGATGATCAGATCCATTAGCACCAACATATACAGGGAGTCATGGAAAAAACACAGAAGGACTAAAGTATACAATCGACAGAATGCAAGGATCGTTAATAACAAGATCCAACTCATTAAAGGAGAGAAAATTGAAGAAATGCATTAACAAGCAGAACCGCAAATGAAAATATGATCCGAAAAAATAAATCACTCTGAATATATATATAGCATATCGCGTACAATTGAAAAAAGGGAAACAAACTACATATAAATTGGAATAGCAACCCCTTGATGTAGCTTCCTCAACCAATTGTGAGCTGCTGATATATATATATAAAAATAAATAAATAAAAGGAAAAAAATGCGCTCTGCAATCTACATTTGCCTTGGCTTGCTTTGATGAATAAAAAGGAGTTCTTTTTGCACTTCTCCTGATCTGAACATATAATTGATATTTTTGATATTAAATATGTTGCGTTTACTGTTGTTGTATAGGACGTCGAAATAGCAATATGTGTGGTTCCGGGTAGTGAATCATATAATGAATCCAACCACGCGATTGTTGTACACCTATGGAACGCCATTGCGTCTCAGACATTAGATGAGTTCTTGGCATTCGGTTTAGCAACTCCTTGGGTAGAAAGACATGCCTGTATTCGTATTTGGCTGAATAATAAATATTCTCGCTCACGTTCACCAGTGCGCGTTTGGCTTTTACGCTCGCAAAGAAGTTCGATTAAAGTTTGCAAAAGGAAAAAAAAAAGCAATTCTTAGAGCCCAAGTTTGCTCCTCTTCTGCCAGATCAAAAAAGGATAGCTTTGTAGCTATTTCTTTTTTTTAAGCAAAATAGTGTTTACGTTCTTTTCAAACTTTTTTGATTTCTATATTCACATATGTCTCTTTTATTTTATTCGCGAAATTGATTTTAATGTCAATTCACAAATTTTCTTCAAGAATATTTTTATTGCTTTGCAAGTGTTAGCAAGGAGCTTAAGCACAGTTAAACAGACAATCAGTCACTTACAAAACAGCCCGCCAAACATGTATTATTAAAGATTTCAATTTTGATTGAAAGCAATACCTGTTTTTGGTTAAATATGAATTTCGAATGGCTTTGGATTTGAGCGAGATAGTCCTCAATGTTATTCCTTCTGGAAAATATTGAAATATTACAAAGCGTTTAGAAGGTAACGGAAATTGCATTGGAGAATTGCATATGCCCCCATACACGTGACTGTATGTGCAGAATAAGCACGACGACCACAATTGCGGGACATCCGTCAAGTGTAGCTCTTAAACGAACGATTAAGTCCAATTTTCAATATATTAATTTTATTAGAAAGTTTATTAGTAAACTCATTTTTTAACTAGCACTCTTAACCGAAAGTTAAATTATTCACCTTTCCTAAATGCATATTTCGCTAATGGTTAGTTAGTTGGATTGTTGCGATGGACTTTATTGCCGGTCGTGAATGCATTTTTTTTTTATTTCATTTCATTAAAACATATGATCGTTTTTATCAGCTGCTTTCATACATTTCTTTTGCCGATTGATGTAATCATCAGTCGAAGAAGAATTGTAGTTAGATTTAAGCTATTAATTATAGTAAACGAATGAGTGAATGTTTTTGCTAAAATCATTATATCGTATTAGAAAAACATGTACTCATATATTGACAAGAGTTTATGTAAAATGTTTGGGAAAATCTGATCAAAGAGAAATTGGAGTACAACTAGATTTTCAGAGCGATTTTGCAATAACAAATGCGATTACTGTTAATCATATCTGATCCGGCATTGCATCCGAGCAAAGCAAGTTGCGGCCAAGCAGCATGTAAGCCGGCGAACATGTTTAAGAACGTTTGCATTTGCTTTTTGAAATCTAACAAATATTATGTTAATTGATTATCATAAGTTGTAAGAACACTTGTTTAATGAAGTGATGCATCTATCATGTCAGAGGGTTACAATTGCAATAGCAAAAGTTAGGTAGCATTATTAAAAGCCATTTTAACTGAGCTGAGGATGGGTTGCTTTCAACATAGAATAAATGCGTTGAAAAACCGACTGAGATCTTATTCTTATCTTAAGGATGAATTTATGAAAAAGCAAAAGAAATTGTTTTCTCATATCTGCTCTGCGAACTTTTCAATTACCTTTATATTCTTAATGCAAATACATTCTTAAAGGGATAAATTTGCAAATATATATATTTATTTAAAATATTATAAACTCTCTTCAAATTTCGTTATTATTATTATTATTATTATTATTATTATTATTATTATTATTATTATATACGTGTTAAAGAAAACAATTAACAAAATTATATTCGGCCGCGACCGAATATTTTGTACCCATCACCGTTCGCGATATTTAGATCTGGCCGATTATTTCGATTTTTGTATAGGCTCTGTAGAACCATCCATACAAATATACGTGCAAGTTTTTAATGTTTTATCTGTTATAGTGTACAAGTAACACGCAAAAAACGAGTTTGATTTCCATTATTGAAAACAGAGGTGGACTCAGATTACATTACAGTACGGTGGCTATGTCTTTTGGCCGATTTGGCCTATTTTCAATATCAATTTGAAGTCAATCCTAGCGAGCAGGAAAATGTTTTCCATAGACGTTATACAGATGGCCAGACAGGTGGATAGATGAAGAGAGAGACAGACATGTTTAAATCGGTTTAGAATTTTATGCTGAGCCGTACCTTCCAATTGAGTGTTACAAACGTTTTGACAAAATGAAAGTAACCCCCCCCCCCCCCCCATCCCCCTCCCCCAACCAGCATTGGTGGGTTTAAAAATATTTGTTTGTAAATATATTTCCTTCATAGCACAGATGTTATCATGCACTTGCATGCCCATCAACGCATGAAAATTTGTGCAAATTTTTTAAGAAAATTCAAATAATCACGACGCATAGAAAAAAAAAAAAAATGTAAACGAATAACTGACAACATAATATACGAATGTAGTTAAATGAAAGTTGTACATGCATATAAGGATAGGTGTTCTCAAGCAAGTGTTAATTAAACAAAACAAAAAAAAAAAAAAGGGAAAGATATTTAACGTTTTTTTTTTTCTTTTTAGTTTTATGATATTTTTTTGCATTGATTTTGCCTCAATATTTAATTTAAACGATTTTATACGGTTTTTTTTTTTTTTTTTTTTTTTTTTTCAATTTAAAAAATGAACAAAATTACTTCAGAAAAAACTTTGTACTTTTAATTTAGAATTAAAAGACTTTCTTTTTAAACCTTTTGGTTGAAATGAGACCGATTGACTGTTTTGCGAAATTTATGAAACTCATCATTAAGCCGAAAATGTAATTTGTTACACACACACAAACACGCATACACACAAACACACGCGACCATTTGCCCATTTAACATTTCAGATGTGTGCATAACGAAAAATATACATTTGTAAACATTTATATTATATTTACATACGTTGCGTATACATATAAAAGAAATTTAATATAATATCGCGATATGTTTGTGTATGAAACAATTTGAAGACAATTATTGTAAGCATATCTCTCGCGTATGCTGTCAATGTTATTGTTATTATTTCTTGTACTTAAATTTCTTTATGCGGTTTTTCATTATGTTGATATATATATATATATATATATATATACATGCATACATATTTCATTGATATATATAAAATTTCGATGCTTACAGTCGCAATTAAGTGTTTAATTTGAATGTGTGTGGGCACAACAGATAAAACGTGACTCTAGAAATTCTTCATTTACATCTGGTTTCATGTTAACTACAATCAAAAAAATAAAACAAAACTTTCATTGATCGCGTATATATATATATATATATATATATATGTGATATTTACAGGCCATTTTAGGTCTTATTCTATTCACCTTATCTATGGACGACTTCATTTCCCTTTTACATTTCTGCAATTTCTATATCCGTTAAGACCCCTTATCATACACCTCTGCCTATGTGTACATAGATTTGTTGTAATCCAATAAGCTTTCCTTGGTTTCGTGGTGAGATAAAAATTTTCTGCTCTTAATTGCTAGTAATAGATATACAGGTTAAATGACAAAAGTTTGTTCCTTTTTTTTTTTAAAAAATATTTTTTAAGAAAATAACTTCAATTGTCTCTCTCTCTCCCTCTCTCTCTTTCTTTTCCACACATTAATTAATATACACAATCTCATCATTATTGCTATAACTTTTTTGTATATCATTTTGCTACGCTCGACTTTCGGCGTCGATTGATTAGGAAGCCAGCATGCACGAAACTGTATTTGGGGTATGTATACATGGGTTCAAAGTATACCGTAGTCTCATCAGCAATTACCCTATTGTCTACTTAATCAGCCCGTTCAGCTCTTTTTTCGTCCCAACTGTATTGAGAATTATTAGCTGGTTTCCTATTTTGCCCGTCAGACAGCGACTTGGGTACCCGCCTCGTCCAATTTACGCCTTGATACAAGCGTTTACCTGAGAAGCCTTGCGTAAAAACGCAGTCTATCTTTTCGGAAAATCGTTGCTTAGATCGAATTATTTTGACGTGATTTCAAGTCACTTTAATATCGATCTAAAGCCAAAGTTGAAAAAGAAATAAACAAGAAAATTATATTCGGCACTGGCCGAACCGCTTTCCGCTTTATCCGCCATTTTAAATGGAAATTAAAAATTTGTATTGTTACAGTTAGCGAAAAAATCTTTTTCTTTTGATTTTGAAAAGAATGGTATTCTTATTTCACTTAGTGCACTGGGGTCGTGTCCCTGGACCAATTTGACCCATTGTCAACATAGATTTGCCTTCAAGAACTTGCAGTGTTTCTGCTAAATGTGAAACCGATACATTACGTTTCGCGGCTAAGAGAATGACATTAGACATTTGACAGACGGATAGAGAGGCCTACTTAAAACGATTCGTTAGTTGATGCTGATCAGAGATTTCCTTCCGAGCGTTCAAAACGTTTTGACAAAACGAATACACCTTCTTTCTTCTCGATGTTGAGTGTAAAAATTTTATTCAATGAAATTTTCCCAATTGTGTTTGTATTCATTTTTCAACGATTTTCAGCGATTTTTATAAACTTTATCGAATTACATAAAAACGATTATGTTTATCTATGGGATCAATAACTTATTTTAAATTCAATTTGCTTCTCATGTTGGAGAACATATGTGCCCATCGCTCAAAAGAAAATTTCATCTCTCGAAATCTAGGGTCTCTAGTGCAAATGCAGATTTTTTTAAAGCTTAACTTTAACTAATTCAACATCAAGATCGATTCGTTAATCGTATTAAGCTTTATTGCGAATAATAAGAAAAGTTATATTTATCTTGCGGTCAGTTTGTGCCAGTTAGCAATACAAATTGCCTAAAAATTAGCTGACTCGTAGTTACCTTGTTTTATAAAAGTTGTTGTTTTCGTTGACCATAAAATATATTTCGATTAGTTTTCAATCAATATTTCTTCTAGTCTGTAAATTATACGTTTCTGTATTGGGTGGATGTGCTTGGGAACACACTAAAACTTTCAATCGTGCTCTAAAGAGACCAACGCATGCTATAATCTGTTAAATAAAAATTTTGTCCAGATTACAACCCTTTACAATATAGACGGACATTATAAAATTCATTCATAATTTTACTTTGTTCAAAGATTACATAATATAATGATGACGAATCATAATCATATGCCAACGTCTTTCTGCGACGTGTGATCCTAACATATACTTATCTCTTAGTGATAGATGTCATCATATGATATGATGATATATGATGATCAGTCTATTCAACACCAACAACGGTAAATGATTTCGTGAGGTAGTATATATATTCCTCATAAGGGTAAAATTTTCAGTCAATTTATCCACATGGCTCTCCTTCGTGTACGGTGACGTTCACGGAGCGCCCGCGGTCCTAAAACTTTAGGTACATATCTGAAATTTATCAAACCAATTTCTTTTCTTGATGGCGACAAACAGACTATTTCCGTCGGCTAATGCAAACCGCGCTAAGAGAAAGGGGCGCGATACTGTCGCAATTAATTAAGAAATATCTCTAATAAACAAAAAAGATATTAACTTAAAATTAGATTTAAATATTCCTTATGTTCAATTTAAAACTTATTGTAAAAATGGGCTGGATCGGCTGCTGACAGATGAACATCTTACGCTAACCGAAATCCCAAGTGTACACTGCTGATTGTTAAGAAGAGAACAAACATTTAGGGCGCAGTTGAGTGATAATAATCACGTAACTGTAAGGTTTTCTTAGAATAATATTTAAACGAATTCCTTCTAATTAATAGTTTTGCTTAATAAAAATAAATAAAGTTTCTTTAATTAGGCACAAAAACAGTCAGTCGATAATACTTTTTATTTATTTCTATAAGAAATTGAAATGAAATTCATTTATTAATTGTTGTTGTTTTCTTGCATGTTGGTACAAAGATGACTTGAGTCGTAAATTGTAAATCGTTAAATTTAATGCTTGTATTAGTTATCAATATATCGGCTTATTAAATAATATTTTACGTTATTTTAACTGCAAGTGCAGCTGACGCTTTTTGGTTAGTATTATTCATAAATTTACTTTAAATTATTGAATATTCTCAACATTTTCAATTAATCATTTTTATTTACTACGGTCAACTTTACCGAACATGTTTAGTTATAAGGTTTCGTTTAAATTCAAACATTGTGGAGACTAATAAATATTAAGCCGAATGAATGATTACGAAACGTGTTTCGGTGAATACGTAACGTCTTTAATTAACAGGAAATTCTGACTCTTAACTCTTAAAAGTTGCAAAGAGAGAGGGAGAGACCAAAAAAAAAAAAAAAAAAAACCAAAAACCAAAAAAAGGAAAAACAAATCAGAGAATTCAAATTTTCAAATTTTTTTTTTTTTTTCAAATATTTCCAAGTAAGTGTGGTTTCACGTGAAAGCCAAACATCTCGAAACTATCCCACCAACAGCCTATGAATTTCTCAAAATTTTTAATATGTACAATAAAAAAAGTACTAATACTCGGTTCGCCGACACATCGATTGTCATTTAACTGCCCTTGTTTCATATGCTGCATGGCAACTCTGCGCTGGACCCAAGGTCTATTTGAAACTCTCTTGACACTTTCTTACTCTATACATTTAATCTTAAAGTCTATGCAAAGTCTATCAACTACCTTAACTTTACTCAAACACAGACTCTATGTATCCAGCGTATGTTTGATCAGCATAAAGTTTCAACTCGTTTCAGTCAGGCTCCGTTTTCATATAATATTTTGTTGAAATTCTCGAAACCGAAACTGAACATATAACGTGAGAGTATGATTTGCTTTATTCACGTGTCTCTTTTCGCATATCTCGCAGTTATTGGTGTTCGTAATATTGGAGTACACAAGTGAACGTTTGCTAAAGTCCAGCACTCAAGTTCGGAAATGGATATAATTAATCGAAGATTGAGGAGCTGCGATGAAGAAATTTGTTAGCCCATCATATCAGTGTAACGTTTGAATTATAATATTTTTCATTACATATACACCGTATACGTATTCTCGATAGTCTAGGAATCTGAGTCGAATTAGTCGTGTCCGACAATTATTAAAGGTCAAATGTCACAGATTGAGTTTCAAAAACCACATTTGATGGATGACGAAGACACTCCTAAAAGCAAGTATAGCCTCCCCTTTTGCTATTTTAATATTCATCGCTTAGAATATAACGATATAAATATTTTATCCGTGAAATAATTCCCTAAAGCCTTAAAATCTGAGAATGTGGGCACATTTGAATCATTTTTGGTAGCGGTCGCCACCCTTCGTGTAAGAATATTCATCAAAATATCTTAAAAATTGTGGCCTATATATATTGAGCACCAGAACACAAGACGGATAGATTGACAGACAAGCTTAGATCGAGTCAGAAAGTGATTCTGAATCCATCGGCACCGTAAAAAAGTGCGTTCACCTCAAATCCTTCTGGTTGTTCGACATATCCGCAAATGTAGTGCATAAGTTTATCCTAAGTGATTTAAGGCATAACTATTTGTAAATTAAGCACACGCAACACGCTCCATGATAAAAGAAAAGGAAAAAAGTTTCTATGCCATAAGACTTGAGTTCAGAAATATTTTGTTGATTTCAAGTTATTATCTTTTTAAGAATAATTTCGCGTAAGATTTCTGCATTTAACAGGGTCTCCCTGTGCTTGGGAGAGTAAAGATGTATATATATATATATATATATATATATATGTAGAGTCACGTTTATATATGTACATATACCTAGACCGTTATGTGGGTCACAATCGCAATGTTTATTTTCTTTAAAGATTACGTCTTAGAAATAAATAAATTTTTTTTGAACCTAATTAGTTTTTAAAATTTATTTCATTGCTATCATTCTATGTTAGGTTTGTCAGTGTATGTATTGTAAATTACAAATGTTAATGCACGCTAATGTTGTGAGAAGAGGAATAAATCTGTAATCCGTTCAGTATTAAGGAAAAAGAAAATTTCAATTCTTCACTTAGGCTTCAATAATTCATTTTACCAGCTTTTAATAGTAGTAACAATAATACAAGCTATGATAAGAACGTAATGATAATAATAAGAATAATAATAAACAACAATAAAAATAATAAGAGTAGTAATAATATATAATAAGAATTTTTTTAAATTATTTAAATAGAACATAGACTATTTGAGCCAAACTGAAAGTGAAAGTGAAAGCATTGATAGTCAGTCCGTTCGATGATTCGATTCTTAAAGTTTCAATGAGACTAGTCGTCGGGTTATAATAACATCCACGTAATATCCAATTTCACTTGCTCTGTTTAGGTAATCTAAACTATTAGTGGCTTGTGTGCTCTCTTCCTTCTCTCAGCTCTTAGTTGCAAAATCTTTCGACAATCATCACCAAAGAATGGCATCTGCTTGACATATGCTTACATTTGTAATATCTAGGCAGACGCAAGGGGGTCTCAATGAAGCACACGTATTTTGAATTAGTAACATTTGTGAGTTTTTTTACTTGTGTCCGTCGGTGCGTGCGCTTATAGAGTACTTGCATCTATCCAAATTCATACAAAAAGATAAAACTAATCTTTTCCTCTTCCTCTCTCTCTCTCTCTCTCTCTCTCTCTCACTCTATCTCTCTGTCATTATCTATATATATCTCTGTCTCGGTTTATAAGCGCAAGCCAGTAGTAAAATGATTGCAAACTGTAGTCTATATCCTTAGCCTAATCGAAAGTTTAAGCTGTCTGAAAAGCCAATGCAGAGATGGATGTGAGAACACCATCACCTTACGCAAATATATTATAACCTATAATTGAGAGGAAATATTGGCATAAATATTCTGTACGGTTAGCTAAAAGTATCATATCAAAGTTAGTTAATTCGCATTGGTTTGAAGTGATGAATGCAAGTTTTTTATTCCACATGAGATGCCTTGTTGCGGGAAAAGGACTTATAACAACGCTGGAATGCCGTGTATGAAAGTTTGCGTTTGGAGCGATTAGATTCTTTGTTTCTTCCACTTTGATCTTTCTTAAGCATAATGCACAAGGCTATCCTCAGAGTTTGTGACTTCAGTTCTTCATTCTCGAGACAAACATCACTTACACGTTAACAAGTCGTAATAAATTAAAACGCCTACGCTAATTCGTTATTGCATACGATTTTCTTTCGAGATCGTCACTCGCTGATACTTGTAGAACCTGCAGATTCTATCTATAATCCATAAGAATTATCGCCATTACACATCTCACTTTTTAGGCATACTCTTGCATTCGGATTATACCTTGGCTTGCTGGATTGCCATCCAATAGGCGAAAAGCCTATGAATTTTAATGTACAGAGAGCCGATATTAATCGAATATAAAGTCGGGCACGAACATGCTCTACTACTTCTAACTTCCAGCCTGTTCAATAACTCGCGGACTTGCTTGTTAAATCTTGAGTCTCCATCCATCCAGACAACTCCTCACACTATTGATGATTTCTCTATGGTAAGATTCCCGATAGTTCTGTTAGTATTATAGGTAGAGGACAGGAAATTTTCAAGACCTATTGTGTCGTCATTCCGTTTTCAAAAAAGTATTCAAAAATTTTGAATTTATCCCTCAATAGAAGTCTAAACATATGTGAAAAGTGCCTTCTTCTTCTTCTTTTTCTGTTATTCAGCAAATTAAGGACCGTAAATTCGCTAGGATTGAGTAAACAAGACGTGAAAAGTTTGTTTCGTAAATGAACGCGAGAAAACGGCTCACAATATCTTCATCTTAAAAGGACGAGCATGACACTTTAAATAGAATTTTCTCTCATTTCTATTTCAAATTTTAACACAGTGACATAGTGCTAAACGTGAAATCAATCGACAAGCATATAGACAATGCGACAGACATAATTAAATCGATTATTTTCTCCACCTTTACGAACATATAACGAATCTACTAACATAGGCTATCGTCTATAATGGTTGTTTCGAGGGTTAAGCATAAAATTGAAAGTATTCAACGAGCAATTTTTTACGATTCATTCATGTTTGTTTGCACAAGAAGCAGTAAACGTGGTTGAAATGAATGATTTAAATAAAATAAAAAAAAAAAAGAAGAAAAGTGAAGGAATTTTATTCTCGCGTATTCCCTTTAAGACTGTATTTGCAAAATATGTGAAACTATGTGTTTCCCTTTCAGTCTGTCCGGATCTAAAAATATATATATATAATATAATGCCGGCTTATTTACTTATTTACTTACATGAGCTTATTGCAGCGAAAACTTTTTCAAGCTTGTCTGTCCAATTAATTGAATTCTTTTTTTTTTTTTTTTATAGAGATCGTGTAAACAGCGGCACACTGCGTGTAAGATAGAACTTCTTTCTAATATATTTAAAGAATTGGTAATTTAAAGGCGAAAGGCAATTTATATCATTCGTGGAAATGAAATATTGTTGCATAAATTTCATATCATTTTGTAGTGCAATCTCTCAAGCGTTTACTTATTTTTTTATATGTGCTAAAGATCTTGAGCAGAGCACACTTAATTGTGTTGGCGAA